AGCTGAAGCCGACTTTTCTCACCTGCTCCGTCTATTTCATGTCACTGCACATTTTGAAATGTACCCAAATGTTCTGGGAGGAATATTATTGGGCTTATGTAATGGGCCTCAGCAGGCACCCAAACAGACAGACGCAGAGCAGAGCGTGACCTTTGTGTGCTGCAGGCTGCTGTTTGCGCTAAAGGGAGGGTTCTGGGCCCGGCGGATGACTTCGCTAATGCTTTAGGTATTTCAACATGCCACGACACGCTCGTTCTCACACACACACACACACACACACACACACACACACACCGGCCTATCACTCTCATGTCTGACATCTGTGTGTGTGTGTGTGCGCCGTTTGTCTGCGTCTGACAGGTTTATTGTTGCACGGCAGCAGAGCCTTTTGTTTTTTTTTCTGTTTTCTCTCCTGAAACATTCAATTAATCCGAGAAGCGACGTCCGATCCACACAGAACGTACGAACCAGCCAACATGTCTTAAATGTGATCATCTAAAACTCAAACCTCAGACAGACTCCACACTCAGGGCTTTGTGTGTTGCATAAACACACACTCAGCACAACGATTTTAAACGCAGACACACTAACCCGAGCAGTGTGGAAGACAAATTGGTATTAGGCAAGACATCCCCGGCCTGCCCGGCCAGCTCCGTGAGTTATTATACTTATACCCGGCTACCCTGTGAGTGTGTGAGACTAAAAGAGAGAACAACTGAAGGGCTATCGCATTTATCTAACTGTGCATAAATGTGTTGTGGTCGGGATAAATCTCTTCCCTTCTCTCTGCAGAGTCCCGGGAGGGAAAACCCTCGGCCCGACTGCAATCACATGCTGCCGTTCCTGCACGCAGGGTCTCCATCCTCCACATGCATGCAAACAGCAGCGTCAGCTCCTCAGAAACAACACATCCACCTCAGAGACTGGGCCCATTTAGTTCTAATTTCTGGTTTGTCGTGAGCATTTTTCGTCTCTGTCGACTGATCTTCCTTCTCTGGACTCTACATTTACCTGTTGGTCTCAAACTCAAACTGTGCGTACGATGGAGAGCGAGGAGCTGCAGAAGTTTCCCGTCTGGCTGAGTTCATTCCTTCAGATGAGAGACGTCAACCTGAGAATCAATCTACATGTCGTTATAACTAGCTGTGTCTCCAGCTATCGCTTATCCTGAACCTGAACCAATGATCCTGTTTCTGAGCACAGTGTCCGTCCTTGAAGACAACGTGGCCGGTTAGACCTGGTCCACATGCTGGGAGACAGCAGAAGCTCCTCTGGTCTATCAGTGACTGTAGATACACACCGTCAGGACAACACACACACACTTTGTATTGGATCCAAGCAGGTTCTGTTTACATCTCAGTGAACTTCCACGTGAGCGTACGAGTCCAACCTCTGCTTGAGGCCCAGCACAACAGGATCAATCATTTCTGGATGTCGGGGCTCCTTCTGCCTCACTTTACCTGTGATCTAAATAACTCTCAGGTTTGTTGTTGGACTTCCAACCAAAGAATCGGGTCTAACGATGTGTTTGCTCCAAACAATCCTCTGAAACTCTTGAGGTCCTGCCGTCTGAAGTAAAAGGCTCGTCAGCAGCATCACATGACAGCGACGCAGCCTTTAAGTGATCACGCAGCTGCTGTTTTGTTTGTTCTCCGACTGATTTTGGCAGATTGTCGATACCAAAATATGCACACATGTGTTTTAAGTCTGTCCTGTAGTGGGATTAACATGTGTGAGCTCTTGGTGGCCCACAGGCAGAAAACTATCATGACCAAGTGTTTCATTAGAATCAACAGATAATGACGGATTTTTTAACAAAGCTCAGGCGAACAAGAAGCTGTTTTGAATCTATCGAGGCACACAGGTAATATTTCACCATCAGCACAGTGAACACACACAGATAGAGGTGCATGAAGCTGGCAGGCCTCGCTTGGGTGAAGATTAGAAGCAGCTGGCCTGGACCGAACAGAGACCCCTTGTCCCTGCATGTGCACCCTGACGTCAAGTCGGAGCAGGTCGCCGGCAGCGTGTCGCTTAGGTGGAGGTGGTGGAGTGGACACGGGGGTGGTTTAATAGCGACCAGGTGTCCACCATGAGGGCAAAGACGCTCCATTGTCAAGAAGTACGGGGAGCTGTTCATGGGCCGGTTTGTAGTTTGCATTCAAGTAAAACTCTCCAACACGCGATCAAACACTTTTCTCTTTGCTGTTTGTCAGTCCCTGTGTTGTCATTTTATCACTCAAACCTAAATGAAATCCACACATCAAAACAATAAGAAAACTGCTTCGGTTTACACGTGTTTGTTTTAATGTCACATTTTCAAACTAAGCTGTGAAGTTTTGGCCAGACAGCTGCTATCTGCCCGTCGGTGTTTCCTTTTAAAGCCTTCATCTAGATGCCACACAGTCTTTTCACTCTCAAGTGATCTCTGGGAAACGCAGTGAAACGGAGCACTTAGCAACAACCCCCACAGCTTCAATATTTTACCTCCACAACAAAGTGCGTGTTTTTGAATCCGTGATACACGCCGTTCTGCTGCCGCTGCAACCTCTTACCGTTTGCATCTCTGGCCCCGTCTCCTCGGTGCAGTTACATTTCAGGAGGGCCTACCTCTGCTGCTCTCAGATGCGAGAGGGAGGGAAGTGGAGGAAGAGACAGATGGCCTCAATCTGGTGATGGAGACACCGGCAGACCTCCAGTAGACAGAGGGCCATTTACAGCCATTTTACATCTATAAACAGTGACTAAGACCTGATCCTGTTTAGATACAACCCCTGTGAATTGAGAGGAATAGGCACTGCTGGGCACAAAGTATGATTTGCTGATGGAAAACGATGTCTTTATGGATGCCCTTTTGGCTGCAGAGCGTACCGGCGGTGCAAATGTCAGCAAACTATTTGCAGCTTCACAATGCATTTAAAACAAGTGCTGCGCCGCCTCACACTATCACCAACTCGGAATTGTGAAAATAAGGGAGACACTGCACTTCATTAAGTCAGATGAAAATCCTATTAAAACTGAACTAAAAAAAAAAACAAATCAAATAAAGGAAACCTCCTGGGAAATAAGGTTAAACTGGCGGCTATAAACAGTCCACCTGCTATTTAGAGCTCAGACAAAAACAATGGTGCAAAAACAGAACGTCTTGAATCCATGAAACACGTGTAAACAACAACAAGAGCGGCTCCTCTGATTGCACAGCTCACAGTCCTTCATGCTGCTTATTGCAATTAAACGGGAACATTATGAACGTTTGCAATTAGCGGGTAATTATTACGTAACAGGTTTGTGTAGCGGCATTACAAGCTACGAGAGCGAGATCGCAGTCGGGTTTGGTTAATGTAACGTGCGGGGATGTGATGCGGAGCAGCGCCATAAAGCCCAATGATGTGCATCGCACGGCGGCGGCGGGCTCCGGTGGGCGGAGGCTGCGCGTGGGGGAGATGAGAGCCGGGGAGTGAGAAGGTCAGCGTGTGGGCAGAATAAAACGTATCCCGTTTTAAAGGAGTGTTTAAACTGCCAATCCGGCCTGGAACAGCGGTTGGGTCAATTCCACTCCACACGGCCCCCCTCCTGGCCGCGCACCAAGTTTGTTCCACACGAGCATGTCTGCGCACACGGCGAGCGGCTTCCAGGAGCCACAGGAGGGGAAGAGGCAGGAGCATCATCCGAGCTGAAGCACAGACACGGTACCCAGAGAGGGGATGCATTTACTGACAAATAAAAATAAACCACCTGGAAATGTTCCGTTTGCTGCCATGAGCGGGAGCATTCAGGAGCCACAATGCGCCCGTCAATCATCCCCACGCCCCCCTGCTGCCACTTGATTTCCTCTCTGACACCTTTTCATGTTCGTGTGCGACTCGAGTCAAATTAACGCTTCTCCAGAACCCTGCTCCACTTCTCCAGACCCCACCGGGGCGGTGAGGAGGACTCTACCTCCGAGGAGAAACCAGAGAAACTGGAGTTGTGTCACCGTCTGCTGCAACATGACTTCAGAGGGGTGGACGTAACTCGATGAGAGCGTTTGTCAGACTTTCCATTTCCAGAAAAGACACAGCAGGCACATTTTCCCCCGCACGCCATATGGTTTGAACAGAGGTGGGAGTGCTCCGAGTCTGCCTGCGACCGACCACAAAACTGTATGTCAACATGCAATGCAAGCTGCTTTTTTATTATTTCAAGGCTTGTGATGCTAATAAGAAGAGCAGACATCAGTGTGCATGCAGCAGAAGTAAAACCACCAGCTCAGCATGGAAAAACATGACAACCAAACACACAGCAGAGTCACACACGCACACACACAACAGCACGCTATTGATGGTTGTTTTACTCTGTCTTACACCTCACATATCCTCCAGTGTACTGAAGCAGCAGAGGGGGTATTGAGCTGAACTGCTACAAATGCACGAACAAGAAGCTCGGAGCATTTGCCAAATGTTGTTGGTGTTTTACTCCAAAAACAGGCAACAGCGGCGCAACCGCTCCAGCAGCAGCGTGAGCAGCGGTCTGTCTGTCATCCTTCTAAGGTCACAGCTCCACCACCACCACCCCCAACACGGGCTGCATCTGCTCTGACAGCACTGACGATGGTCCACATGCAATCAGAGATCAGCGCACCCTGACCTGCACACTGCCGCAGCAACACCTCCACCTCCACCTCAGCCCCCCAGCGGAGCCTCCATACCGCCGCCGTGCGCGTTAATGCGCTGCCCGTCACCAAAAGCCAACACGATCCGGTCACAGCCGAAACTTGTCACAGCCACACCTCCTTTTAAAATTTACAGCTGGGTTAATTTCCCCCCCCTTACACACACACACACACACACACACACATAAACCCGCACTGACATCCCAGTGATGACCGCACACGCTGCCACAAATCCGTGCGCATTTTTTTTTTTTTAGCGCAGCCTTATTCCAAGTTAATTTTCTCAACATTTCACGGTTTTCAGAGGCACCCACATGACACAATCCGGCAGTCAAACGTCGCTACTCACTGTGGTGTGGATGTAGGTTAATGGCCGATGGCAAGAATTTCCCGGAGTGGAGAGGCGGCGGATGACTCGCGCCCAAGTGACCGGGCGAGGGAGGGATCCTGCCGGCCGCCGCTGCTGCTCCGAGTCGGTGAGATTCCACTGCGAGCCCGGCCAGCAACGGAGGTGGTACGTGGACGGATCGGGGAGGACCAAAATCTCTGCCATCCATTATCCACAGTGGGGAAAGTTGTGAAAGGAAATTGTCCGTTCGGATAGGCCCCCTATTCCGAAAAAGCCAATCCCGGCTATAATAACGTTTTTAGTTTTCCAGGCGACTCGGGCTCCCTCTCAGCCATCCTGCCGACCTACAAAACACAACCAGAAAAACATCGCTTGATACACAGTCTAGAAAAAAGGCAGCTCGCAGCGAGGGAGCAAACTGTTGGAAACTGGTAGTTTAAGGATTTCTCCTGTTTCCAGCGGCCCATACGCGCAATGACGCAGTTTGGAAAACCACTTCAGAAACTAAACGCTGGATGGTAGCTGGTAGCCAGCGAGACCACACGCCGACGAGCTGCTCCGATGGTATCTCAAAAGGCAGATATTAATGCGGACTTTAACTTATATTTATGATATTATGGGCTCATGTTGGAGCGACACTCCGCCCCCACGGCACACCGAGCAGCAGCCGCTCCGGAGCTGCTCGTTCCTGGGAAACAGTCGGGAGAGGAGCGGCCAGTTCAGCCCGACCGAGCGATCCTGCGATGGAAACGGCAACTTTTAATAACACTGTTTTATTTTTTATTATCTCGATTTGTTTTATTTTCCTCACCATGAAGCAGCGATGCAGGCAGCGGGGCCGAGTCGCCCTGTAAGCCAATACACCATAAATACTGGAGGCGCATCAAATATAAATTTCAAACGGGTTAAAAATAAATAAGGCTGCAAAAAAAAAAAAAAGAAAAAAAAAGCCTGCATCATTAATCAGCGGGGTTAGCGGTGTTTTGTTGCCCCGCAGATGCGAATTTAGTCCGGCTTAGGCTACTTCGCAGTGGGTGCTGCCCAAGGAAAGAAATCAGAACCCAGCCCGGTTCAAAACTCAGCTCCACGGATGCCTTCAAACACATTTTATTTTTTATTTTTTGGGCATTTATACCGAAGTTTGAAGCTAATATTTACATTTCACGAATCTGCGGATGATTCCTTTTAAATAAGTTACGCGCCTCGAACGTGTAAAAGGTCGATTTAAAGTGATTTAAAACCAGACTTAGCATTTATGTGTGTCATATTTAAAAAAAACTACTGGAAAAAAGTTAAGGAGAAGAATCGTACAAAAACCAAACCTACCGCGGAGGTTAGGTAATGTTATCTAATGAAGTCTAACAGCTGATTATGAATAAATAAAACCCACAGTATGTGAATACAGGAAGTGGAGAATATACATTAAAAACAACAACAGTAACCTTCACGAGCTGCCAGCGAACAGCCACGACTCGTGATATCCAGGCAGGCGGGATTTGAAAGAAGGGCTCGAACCGAACGCGTTTTCCTCCTTTCTTTCTTTTTTTTTAATGTAAAAAAAAGAAAAGAAAAACGGACCCAATTGTTGCCTGTAAACCGCCGTGGATCAGCCTCGGACGGGTTCGGATCGGTGTCCGGGTCGCTGGAGCTCCATGCGGCGGCTGCAGCTCCGCGTTCACAGCCACGTTTCAAACTTTTCACGGTTCCATTATCGACACACGAAACTTTCTGCTGAGGAAACGTCTCGAAAGGTTTTTTTTTCCTCACAAAAAAACACCGACAACCTCCTCACAAATCCAACATGTCGCTTGCAATAACCTCCGCGCCCTTTTCACTCACATTTCCATACGAAATTAGTTTTTTTTTTTGTTTTTTTTTAGCTGGAAAAAGAAAACAAGAAGAAAAACATGCCGAGCGCTTACTTTCAGTGGGGAGAGGAGAGGGAAGAAAGCGTTGGGGAAGAAGGTACAAAAAAATATTGTTTTTTAATCCGTCCAGGGTTGAGGGGAGCGCTGGAATAGTCTAGTCCATTACAGGCTTGTCCGAAGGTAAACTGGGGGATAACTGGGGGGAGAGAAAGCCCCTGACGCGTCCTCCTCAGCAATGAAACACAGCATTGTTTTGCGAAGCCCCGCCCACCTTCTTCACTACCGCCCAACCCGCGACGTCACCCGCAGCTGCTCTCTGATTGGTCAGCCCGGATGTCAATCAAGGCCCCCTAGTGTATTGCAAAAAAAAAAAAAAAACGCAGCCTGGCCGCTCGCCAGCACTATAAAACCAATTATGGAGCAAGGAGGTTGAGCAGTTTCAAGGTCCCCTCTCCCTTCAAGACTGAGTGATCAAAACAAGCAATGGGTTCCTTCTTTTTTTTTTTGTGTGGAGGTGGAAGGGGGGGCATCTTAAAAGCCCCCCACCCACCCGTTTCCACGCTGATTATAGCAGACGCTGAAAAAACACTGGAGGTTGGGCAGCACGGGGGCGTCGTCAGCCCCTAAAACATCGTCTTTTTTTTCTAATGTTGTTTACTTTTAATGACTTCCCATCACACACCTCCATATCCAAGGGATAAGAAGTGCAAAAGTCGAGATAACAATCTCATTATTTCCTCAAGGCCCTGTAATTTATTTTAATTAAATGAGCGTATTTCATTCAGTTGTTTTCACTCTGACGTGCCAAATCCAAACCATAATGAGCCCATATGGTTAAAGATAATAACATGGGAAGAGATGCAACACTTTCTTTTTCAAGTGTGTAAGGCTCACTGGTAAATACCACACTTTCATTCCATTAAATGCAATAAATAGGCCTTCTGAGAATGTTCCCCTGTGTTTACAACAAACTAGGATAATTGTGCATTCTAACTAATAATTATATCCAATCAAACATCACAGTTTGTCAAGTCTTGTCTTCATTATGGTTGCATTTTTATTTTTCTTTCCAGAGAAACAAGTCAGATCCAGGAATAATGCCAGGCTTTGGGTATGTAAATGGGCCAAGCAGGCTGTAGGTGAAGCAGCTCCGGGTGCCTCCTTGTGCATAATCTGGACCGAGTGTCAGCCGCAGATTTGCATTAGAAGAGCTGAGAAAAGGCGTCGTTGGTTCTATTACGCTAAAACTCAGGAGAGGGAGGAGGGGGCGCAATAATAATCATAAATAAATAAAATACCCTCTCATGTGACCTCCTTCCTGGTCCTTCCTGTGCACGTCACGTTTATTTATTTGTTTGTTTGCTGTCCATAAGTTTTCTTTGAAGTACATCTCTGTGTCGCTGCAAAGAAAAAAAATGTTGATTAAAAAATCTGAGGCGGTTTCAAGCTGCCCCTCGCACACACCCCCCACACTCCCCCGGCCCCTCCCCCTGCAGCGCGCCGGTTTCAAGGCGCCCTCCGGCGGGGCGAAGCCAGAGCTCCACCGGAGCGCCGCGCGACGAGGAGGGAACCGGACGGAGGCTCGTTCGGGCGTGATCCGCCGAACACATGCGGCCCAATGTGCCCGCCGCTCACATCGCACTGTTTTATTTTTGCTCAAACGAAGAGCCCCGGTGCTGCAGCCGAACGGACCCGGGGACGGGAACCACCAGGCGGGGATCAGAGCGACGTCCCGGACCGTCCGAGGAGGGCCGAGCCGGCCTTTGTTCTCCCAAATCGCTCCGACTGGGAATTCAGACAATGCCTTGAAAATTAGGCCCCATTGTTGGTGTGTTTTCAGGAGGCAGGTCCCACGCTGTCCCCGCTGCTGCTCTTGTCAGCACCGCGGCGTGTCGTGGGCGGTGTCTCCGCTGCTCAGGTGGGTTCTGCTGTTTGGGTCGCGGGCATTAATACGAGTTATACGATGAAACAGCTTCGTCATGCTTCAGACGTCCTGCAGCACCTTCACGCATGTGCGCTGTCACATAATCACCTGACTAGATGTAAAGAACAGAGGAACCCACCAGGTGTTCATAGATACCTGCCGGTGTGTAGTCCAGGACAACATGTCCTGCCTGTTTATCTCCAGATAAGGCTTCTCACAGGGCTGCAGATGGGACCATTTGGTAGATTGTGCTTTATTTATTTATTTATTTGGTAATGACTTCGCCTGTACACCAACTGTGTTCCTTGAAGACAGTCCAACTCGTCCTCCATGTGGAGCTGTGATGGAAAATTACTGATTTATAGCCTTAAAAACGCTGCAGGGTCCACATGATGCCACTATCTTTACATTCCCACTAACACGCTTTATAGTCCATGCAACAGAGGTTATTTGTTATCTCAGGCTCTGATTCAAACTCTTTATTTATTTTTTGTCTTATCTTTTCCATCTCAGTTGTGGCTGTCCTAGTGCTCCTATCGGCTCAGAGATCAGGTAAAGGATTCGAGTTGGCAGATCTGATTTTCTGGGAGTATGTGGCTGCAGTAAGCCACAGGGGACAGCCATCATTAATTCATCACTGCTCTCAGGGACAGAGATGCATACAAAGAAAGGAAATACATACATTCCCACTCATTTGGTGTAAAAGTACCAAAAAACAAACAAACTGATGATGTGTTCGTGTCCCATATTAAACGTGCGCTCTATGATATTCCATAAATGAGAAGCAGCAATAAATAAATACTTGATGTGACCCCTCCCTCCCAAAGTGCTGCCTCCTCTCCCGGCAGCGAGCGCCTGCATGCCCCCGGGGCTGAATCATTCATCATGCCATGTCTGCACAAGCACTATATTGTTACTGGAGCTACTGCACTGCAGCAGGACAAACGCCGAGATGTGTTTGTGAAGAATTAGCAGCGTCGTGTCGGGTGATAAACCCAAGCAGCGTGCACACGGAGGCAAACATGCAATAAACATGCCACCGAGTGACTGACATCACCACACACACACACACCAACCCCCCACCTAAAGCACACACACACACACACACAGAGCTCTCATGGGGTAGCTGTCAATCATCAGACAGCGCCTTGAGGGGTTTTATGACGGACCACTTGTTAGGGGGTAGGGAGGGGGTTAATAACAGCTGGCTACAGGCATGTGGTCATATGAGTGCTCTCATACATTATGCAGTTATTAGTGCTACAGCAGTATTGATCCATGACACACTACAGACAGAGCAACACATAATAATAACCAAAGCTCCAGTAGAATAAAACCAGCTGAAGGTACGGTTTCCCTGCAAACTCCTTCCAGCTCTGCGCTCCAGAGCGACGTGAGGAGTCGGTGGGTGTGTCAGCTGTGATGCTCCAGCAAACGCGCACACTGTGTATTTTTGGTGCCTGTTCCTGACTCGTGTGGTTGGAGCTCTGAGAAAACGTGGGGTTTTTCTCGAGAAAAACCATCGAGCCGTCGCCACAACCTTAAGGAAGCCCTGACACACATCAGACTGTGTAGAAGTGCGCGCATGGGCGATGTGAGCCTTAAAAGGTCTGCTGCTGTACGCGCTCCTGCTAATCCTCCTTATTCAGGACTGCAGAAGGTTAGAAACTCCTCTGGGTGCAGATTATTTGATATGTAAAGCTGTCGATCCGCACTTTACATCTGCTGTCAGGAAACCAGGCAGACTGGTATCAGTGCAGAGGAGACGCGTTGCCCTCAGTGGAAATGTCACCCCCTGTAGCCTGGAAGTTACTGAGGCCTACAAAATGTGCTTCTACTGTATTTCAATATGATCTATTATTCTCTGCTGGCCTCCTTCTGTCAGCAGTGGTAGTCTTCTATTTGCCTTTCACCCAGTTAATATGCCAAACAGGCTCACGCGGTGCAGCGGCCCCATCTGTCGGGCCGAGGACAGAAATGCACGGCGGGCGGACCGGATGGCTCCACCAATGGAGCCGCGCTCAAGCTGCACAGCTGTAGTAAATGGAGGAACACAGTAAGCCTCATTTTCTGACAAATTGATCCCCCTCTGCGTCGTTTTTCAAGCTAAGACATTGTGCTGCAACAAACATTTTTGAACTGAGTAGAAGGAGTGCCTCATTCACAGGCACCTGCAGTACTCACACACACTCACACTCACACACACACACACACGCCTACACATGCACAATAACCTAGACATGTGCAATATAAAGGTGCACTCACACACCACGCAAGCACACACCGAGCACCGGCTCTCTGAGTGTTTTGCTGGCGTGGCAGTAAAAGGATATCAGAGGGAAGCAGTCTCAGCAGAATCACGGGGTGCGGTGGGGTGGAGGTGGCGACTGCAGTGAGATGGAATGAATCTTCAATACTATGCACATTTGATCTTCAGGCTGTATGTGGACACAGCCGAGCCTGATGCATGCATATATGAATTCATATCAATGCGAGCGCACGGGCAGGTCTCCTCAGACGGACCTCCACGCAGCCCAGAATACTGCATGAAAGTGGGACAGCCTGATTAATGGAGGCAGCATGACTTTGGCTGGCACTGGATCAGGTGGTGTCACACACACAGAAACGGGATATAATGCACAGAACATGAGGGTGGGGCTGCACCATCCAGCAGCACCCATCTGATCCTCTTTCATCTCTGTAATGTACAAATGTGGAGATCTGCATTTAGAAGAGCACAGGAAACGGATGAGTATTAGCAGAGGATCTTTTCTGGGTCATATTCACTGTGTCCATGACATCAGCCCAACACATCTGATCTCATGTAACTTTATCATCAAAATCCACACACGTTGCACAAGCAAGCATAAAAAACACTGACTGAGATTTAGTTGTTTTTTTTATTGCATCAGTTTCAATATGAGTCTGTCTACTAAGATGCAGAAAAAATAAAAGCAGGACAGTCACGCCTCACTTCTTACATGTGGGAATAAACGAGCCTTCACTGCCATCTGCTGTTCGTTCTGTGCAACTGTAAGTTTAGTCCATTTAGACGTGGAGAAATGTTAGCATGTGGAGAAACTAAATCCTGAAGCCGAAGAGCATTCATCAGCCCTTTATGTGTGACCTGTGGTCTCATGATGCCAAATGATGTGAGACGCCTCACAGGTGTGAAAGGAGCTTTTATGGTTTAATGGGACATTTAGTGGCTTCCGTAGAATCAGTTCTCCTGAGTGACTCACCTCATGTGGTACTTTCCTGATCTTTAACATCTTGTTTCGACGCCCAGTCAGCTGGGTTCAGGAGGCCCGGAATGAAA